TCAAATGTGTTTTTAACACATTCGACACATAGGATTAACTCAAAATATAATTTCTTTGGAAACGCTAAGAATGCAGGACTATATCAAGGAGGACCTGAGCTTGAATTCCATGCATGGAGTTTGCATGTTCTCCCAGTTGATGTGTGTGACTCGTCTGTGTAGTTAATTGATCTCTGTAGTGTGAGTGTGTGATCTGTGTTGCCCTGCAATGGTCTAGCAACCCGTCCAGAGTGTATCCCGCCTCTCGCCTGATGACCGCTGGATATAGGCACGAGCCCCCATCACGACCCTGCAGGGACATGCATTTTTAGATAATGGATAGATGGATATTGGTTACTTGGTTTGGTTATTTCCCCAACAATTCCTGTGAGCATAGTTGCAGTTTTGGATATAGACTTTCTGCCCAGGAGACGCCAGGAGGCAAAACAAAATTATTTTCCAGTTGTGCTCTAAATTAGTTTTCTCTTGCTGGAAGAAATTATAGAAAATACTTCTGTGTGATTCTCAGTTTATCATTTAGTAGTAGGACCAATGTCTTACATATGGTTACACATGGTTAGACTTCAGCTGATTTCGACACTGAACAGAGATTCTGTAAAAATTAATTCAAAACTTTTGAGCTCTGGACTCCATATATAAATGTAAAATAAAAAAAGGGAGGAAAACGGGGCTGAACAATGCCAACTTAGTGCTATGCCCACCAGAAAGGACTAAAACCCCAGTAAATAGATGATTCCATTATGCATTGAATTTCTGATTACATGTTTTAAAACGTCTTGTTTTAAAATTTCAGCTGCGCTGGTTTTGTAAAGAGATTTTTTTCAAATCCATCCAGAAGAACAAATAGGTTTATAATGTTCATGTTATATATAAATATGTAATAACTGCCTCAGAGGAATATTTGCTGATTTGTTTTCTAATCAAATGCTAATGCTATTTGTGTGTCCATCCAGCCAACTGATGTGAAAAGCAACACAGTGTACAATGCATTGTAAAAGTATACAAACCCCTTGATGTTTTTTTCACATTGTCATTTTTTGGCTCACAAACTTTCATCTATTGTAGCAGGCTTTTTTAAAAAAAATATTATTTTGTCATAGATTAAAACAAAAAGAGCATTATTATGAGATTAAATAAATAAATAAAAGAAAATCTCACATCAATTTTAGCTTGAATAAAAATCTAAGATGTTGAGTGCATGTTAGGTCAAATACCTGCCTTGAAATATCATAATAATACACCTAATTAAATATTTTTTTCAAGAGTATTGTAATGAGAGCAGCCACTTTCAAAAAAAAAATCTTCCAAAAGCGGATATATGAAGAAGCCTTTGTCCATAACAGTCACATCTGAGCACATTTTCTGACACGAGCAGGAGATGGAGGAGATGTTACGTAAAACTCTGACAAGCTTTCAAAGTCCATTACAAGCCACTTACGGGGTTATTTATACTATGAAATATTTAGCCAGCACTTTTTCTCCCAAGCACATTCTCAACTGTAAACCCCACTTTGAGGTACAGTAGATTGACAAAATCTGATGTTTCATGACAGGAAGCTGGATGAGATGTCCAGAGAAGGGCTCATTAAGTCATGTTTTAGATACTGAAAAAACAAACAAAAGCTCTACAGCAACCACTCCAGCTTGAGTTTGCTTTTAATAAGCGGCAAAATCTGATTGTAGCACAAGAAGATGTAAATGACGGTTTAATAGCCACTCTGTGTTTTCCTTACTTTCTCTGCTGAGCCCACTTTGTGTTCTTTCCTTGCCAACTCCGGAGGGATAGAGGAGGAATTGTTTCAGTCTGTGAATTGAAGGTATTCTGGTCTTTTCACTCTCATCCTGTGATTCTGACAGCACGGGTCTGAAAGTTTCCTTCCTCTCTAGGAAATGGCACGCTAATGGCGCACTCTTGCCTCTTCTGTGGTCTTCAGTCACAGCTGTCTAATGAGAGCATCAGTGTGTAAGTGGCTGCTAATGACGGATGCCTTCAGTTTTATCAACTGGCAAAAGCATTTTGAGAAAAAACACACTTTTGTTACAGATCGAAAAGACTGTTTGTGCGATTCCACAGGGCTAAATTTCGGTTTTGCATAACAATTAGAAGATATAAATAATTTCACCTCAGTTAACCCACTTTGGTGTAGAATCTAGAGAACAAATAGACACATCATTGTTAAAAGGAAGTCTTAAGACTATTTGCAGTTTGCCACGTGTTCTGTAGATCATACATGCACCTTCTTTAAGAACGTTTGTTAAAAAAATGTGTTCTGATTAGAGGAGATTATTATTTTAGTCTGCTGTCCCAGAAAATGCAGTTCAAATCATCCTACTGTTGAGATGCATTTATTCGATAGGAGAAGGGAAAGAGTCGATAGGGAGATAATAGCGCTCAATACTTGACAATCCTGGGATAAAATCTACTGTAGGCTGCAAAACTTGAAACTGAGGTAAAGACTCATCTTTAAGCAGACCAGAGATTCTGACAGTACAACCAGAGCCATAAGGGATTGGCTTTGATAAAATCTGGTCCCAAATCAAATCTGTGGCAAGACATGTGACACTGTGCATCCAGTCCAATCGGCTGTTTGGTAAGGAAAAGTTAGCCAAAAATATCAGTTATGCGTAAAAAGCTGGTTGGGATATTTCCTGCAAGACGTATTGTAATTGCATTGGAAATTCTTGCAAAGTTTTAATTCATACTGAATACACACTTTCCACATTTTTACTTTGAAGACCACACACAATTTCCCCCTCAACTTTACAATTATTCACTGCTCTGTGCTGGTCTATCACAAACAATCTTGAAAAAATACACTGACGTTTGTGATTGGCACATGACAAAATGTAAGACACTATTCATGAAACTGGTTTATTTGCTATTTTAAAGACATTTTCAGGACTCAGCACAATTTGTGTGGGTTTTTCCTGTGTCACGGATCATGAAGCTTTCTTGGAGTTATTCCAGTGGCACAATATGTGCCTTTGCTTCACATGATATTTTTATATATTTTGTCAAGCAGTAGTAGAATATTTTTTTTATTCACCCATGAAACAGGTGCTTTTTGATTTCATAAGGGTGAGTTTATTGTAACTTCAGCGGTTATAGGATTGCTCTGTGACTCTAAGCTGCCAGGTTTTTAAAAAAAAACATGAGTTTTAATTGAAAACTAACATCAGTTCTACTCACTGATTGAGCAGGAAATTGAACTTGAATAAAATAAAAATAAAATAAAAAAAGAATTTGATGTCTTTTAGTCAATATGTGGCACAAAAATAATAAATCCCTCCAGTTCATGGGAAGTTTAGGTCTGACTGACATTTTCTGCAGCAGCTTCTATCCCATACCACGTTGCGTTTTTGTTTAACTGTATTTTTAAAATGAGCACTTTTGCACATCTCGAATGAATTAAGCGTCACCTCGGTTCATTTTTATTCCTCTCTTTTTTTTAAGCTTCAGATTTCAAATAGAATTGCAAATCAAGGGTTAATTTAAATAAGGAACGGCATCCGGTGGCATTCACTGGGAGGATAATTTTCCATTTCTTTTCTTATCACTCCTCCAGAAATAGAGGAGAGGCAAATTATCATGAGCATAAAGTGAGTGTAAGTTAAGTCTGTAAGAAGATTTATTTGCATAAGCACACACTGGCGAACCAGCTTCCTGTTAAAGACCTTTGGATGAAAAAAACCTTGTTGATGTTATAATACATAATGACTGTACTAAGCAATTTTCCAGCAGTGCTTTTTCCCTGCTTCATAGAAAAACTGAGTTCTACTGAGATTTTTTGCAATGACCCAACATAGTACTTTTCATCTTTATTTTCTTTAGATGACTTTTACACTTGTACACCTTAAAGAGAAAAGTTTCCCTATTATTCCAGGTGCAGTAACATATTTTCACATCTTTCCCATTATGACGAGTGACTTACGAGAAACAGCTGCCTGTAAAATCGTATCTAAGGAAAACATTCTAGACAAGTGATCGGAAGCTCCTTGGTACTCAGGTCAAAAGATGTAAAGATAATTTAGTTTAATTAGTAGGCGGCCTAACTACAAACTGTCCCAGCCAATTATCTGAGGGCATTTTTCTATTCAGCCAATCAATGTCCGAAGTCTGTAGATTTAGCTAACCAAAGGAAAATAAACAAAAACTGAAAAAGTCTCTATGGCAGGGGATTTATTAAACTACACCTCCCCCTTGTGGCAGCTCTGAGTAGAACAGTATTGTGCCCGCTCAGAGCGTAGTAAATCTGCTAAGAATTTTATAAAAACAGTGAATAAAATAATGAATTCCACAAACTATAATACAATTCACTATTTGTGCTAAAAAAAACATAGCAATTTGACTACAACATTTTCTATCAACTCTCTTCTGTCATTTCCTCTATTTAGGTTTCACAAACACTTTATTGACAAAGGTAGTCCCTCCTCCAGATTATTGACTCTAGATGTTCCACAGCGGGTTAATAAAATCAAGCACATAATCATGCTAATTAGTTCTGAAAGCAGATCAGCAAGCAATACAGTGTTAGATACAAGCAGAAAGCTGATGACTAGTCAGATTAATCAGAGAATTAAAAAAATGCACACTTGTCTTAATTTGATTGATCACCAGATTTCGTGATTTTTGTTTTTATTTTTTTCACGAGCAACTTAAACTGTAGCAACAACTGCAGCCTCAGTTTGGATTCTGAATTCATTCACTGGGTAACTAATGTACCTTTTGGGGGACAAAGGGTGACTCTTTAAATTAGATATCACTTTTTATATTTGCCCTTTAGAGAGAAACCTATAAGAGTTTAGTAGGGCTGCACCTCCTCAGTACAGTAGGAGCATTAGCACCACACACTGACTCTCTATTTGATTTGATTTCTTCGCCCCCACACGCGCTGCCTCTTTAGCACGTGACATAGAAATCATTAAATTATAGCAGAGGTCTGACTGTTGTTGTTTTGTCCGCCTGCTAGCCCCGCCCACCTGTCCCTCTCTTATAACAGCTGCCTTCAGACGGCTGCGGGGACACAGCAGCAGACCTGGTCCTCATCCACACATGGACATCTAGCAAGTTTCCCACCCACAATGGAAGCCAACATTGTTGTTATGGGGACAGAAAGTGTCGGGAAATCAGGTAAAACACGTTTTCTACCACTGAAGACTAACCCTTCTGGAATTGCGTTTGAGTATTAAGGTGGTTATTTTCTTCCTCAGCAATGACTGTGCGCCTGTTGACTCGGAGATTTATAGGTGAATATGGAGACATCGGTAAGTTTCCACTCTGCTCCCTTAACCCTGATGCCGTTGTAATGAATTAACTCTGACACAAATTTCTTTTCATTTTTCAGAATCCATCTACAGTCAGAGTTTTATAGTTGATGGCAGGGAGGTCACTCTGAATATCTGGGACTCACCTTACTCTCAGGTATATGTACTGTCTAGATCTCATAAATCTTGTAAGATGCTGCCTTATTGATGTTTTACGTGCAGTAGATGATGGGTGACCTGGCTCACTGTCCAGGGTGCCACACCCTGAGGGGGCGCCCACCTACAAAAAAAATCTGAGGATCTATCTGTCTGTTTGTTTTGGACACCATCTGTATTCTGTACAATGTATGGACTGCAGAAAATGAGAAGGAAAAATCTGGACTGTATTTGATCATCTACAATTTGAATTTAAATGTTTACACTAATCAAACCTTAACTGGGTATTCTACATAGAAGAAAACGTGTTTTAGACAGCTCCAGACTTGTGAATACTTTACTTAATAGTGTGACAAGCCAAAAAAAGACCATTTTGAACTCTGGTTTCGGCATTAAGAGCACAACATGAATGGGGAAATTGCAATTGGCCTATATGGGGGTAGTGGTGTTCATGCAAGACCTCCTCCGATCTTAAGCAAAAACCAGGTGGGAAAAAAAAAAATGAAATTATGCAGCAATTTTATTAAATGTCTTATTTTGCAGGATTTGTCTGTGGAAACCTCAGATTTCCATAAGAAGATACAATGGGCAGATGGCTTCGTCCTGGTCTACAGCATCTGTGACAGAGCCAGCTTTAACGCCATCAGCAGGCTGGTTCAGAAGATCAAATCCACCAGAGACTGCTTTAGCAGGGATAAAGTCCCCATAGTGATAGTGGGCAACAAAAAGGACCTGCACCACAGACGGACAGTGTTGAGTGAGGAGGGCCGGATGCTGGCCCTCAGCATGGACTGCCTCTTCTGTGAAGTCTCGGCCGCAGAGAACTACCACAGCGTCGTCTCTGTGTTTAATGGCCTCGTGGACAGGATGAAGGATGCCAAGCTCGCCACAAAGAGACCTCTGAGGTTTAAGGGCATAGTCAAAAGCATGTCTGCTGTGTTTGCCAGAAGAAGGACAGATTCACTTTGAGAGAAAAATGAAGGGAGAAGAAGAGGCTGGAAATTGTGTGCATTTTACCAAATGGGGGAAGAAAAATAATAGTACGAAATGACTCTGAATTCGGAAAAGCCATCAAACTTCAGAAAATGTGAGCTAAAACACACATGTTGCAGATGTTTCCTGGACCTCGATATAACCAAGAAAATGGCTTTCATCTTTCTGGACTGTAAAAAAAAAAA